TTATATTTTTCTTATATTTGTTTAGCTGCCTTGTATATTTCTTTATCGTTAAATATTTTATATTATATATATATTTTTTTAAAATAAATATTAACATATATACTTTTTTAATAAATATATTAATAAATGTCATTTCATTCAATGTAAATGCATGTAAATTGTATTTTAATAAATATATTAATAAATTATATATATATATATTTAATGAATAATATATAATATGATTTTAACAAATAATAAATATATAATATACTAAAATAAGAATAATATATAATATGAATATAAGAATAATATGAATAATATATAATATGATTATTATTTATATGAATATTATTGTTATTATTTATATATTTGTATGATTATTATTTATATGAATATTATATGAATAACACATAATATGAATGTAAGAATAATATGAATAATATATAATATGATTATTATTTATATGAATATTATATGAATAACATATAATATGAATATAAGAATAATATGAATAATATATAATATGATTTTAACAAATAATAAATATATAATATACATAAGCACATGTTATGTAATAAATCTAATCGAATTTTAATGCGAAGATAATATGCAATGTTACAATGTACACGAGCGAGATAGAGAGGCGAAATTCTTAAATGTTCGAAAGAAGCAGTCGGAAATCTCGCGAACCGAGGGAAGAAACGTGCACAGACGCCGCAGTTATTGATCGCGATGTCCACGTTTAAACGCTGAAATCGAATCTCTATTTTCGGCTGGTGGATAAAATAACTTGTTGTTACCCGTCCGTGTCTCGAGTGATCAGTTGCCTGTCGAGACCGACGTAAAATGTCTCTCCCCGAAACGCCGAGTAATCTGAAATTATTCGGCAAAACGAAAAGAAAAAGACCGCGTGAATGTTTCGTCTTGGTAAATTCAGAGATATGAAGAATACGTGATACGAAAATCATTATCTTCAATACGTGAGCGTCGACCCTCTTAAATTACACTCTGAATTATACTCCGTATAATGTATAAAAATTATTTCTAAGTTTCACTAATGAAAAATCTCTTAGTTAATTTCTATTAATTTAGAAATCTCATCGTTGCGTTTGCATTTTCACGCATTGAGAATCGTGAGGAAACAGCAGAAAGAAAAGCCGCAGTAGAAATTCTATTAATCGTCGCGTTTTCCCAAGGCGGATTGAGGTTTAAGGAGCTTGATCGAAGTTCGATCGACGGAAGGAAGAACCAGAGACTCGATCGATCCTCGTTAACGGGCGTCGCGCGAGCGGAAATAATTCATCGGATGAATTATTTCGACCGACCTCCCCTCCTTCTCTCTCTTCTTCTCTCACGGTTCATGTCACGGCTTAAAATACGTTTTGACGCTGCGCGTCTCCACACCGCGACGCCCAGATGAAATTTGCATCTCTCTCGTTAGAGAATCTGCTAACCTATAAGTAAATTGATATTCCATCTCGAACTCGAGCCTCTCCTCTCCCCCTCGCCCCATCGATGTTGCAAAGAATTAGAATCACGTTTCGAACAGCGAAAGTAGTTGCAATTATTATACAAAGGGGAAGGAAACGAGGGATTTATCGAGGATTTCAGTGTGTTACGTTCAACGTGACATTTTTATACTGTACAGAAGATACAAATCACACGCAATCTTATTACAAAAATTTACAAATTTATTAAATTATTAACTTTAATATTATTGTTAATATTATTCGCTTTAATATTATTATTAATATTATTAACTTTAATATTATTATTAAATATATTGATTAATATATTAATTTCATCAGATATAAATTATTATTAAAGTATTAAATTAGCAAATACGCGATTCGTTTCAATTTGTCAGGGGAATCTCTGTGAATTCGAACTTTTGTACGTTGATCGAAACTGCTTGCAAAACGTGTGACAGAAGAATTAACGAATACACAAACTTTTCAGTTTCGTAGAAGTTGATATACATATTTACAAAAATGTGTATAAATTTCAACGTACTCGTCAATTTTCAATCGCTGAAAGTAAACAAGATCAATAGATATATTATACACGTAACATCATTCTATCAGTTCTCGGACGATTTGTATAAATGCTAAGGCTGAAGCTAAAGGTATCAGGTAGAAATTGGAAAGTATTTAAAAATATTTATTACATTTTTCAAAGTATTCAAATCGAAAGTAAATCTTCACCTAATAAAAATTTCACTCGCACTAATTTCCATGAATTTCCGTGAGTTTGGTAGAAATTAAAAAATTACAGTCTCTCTCTCTCTCTCTCTCTCTTTCTCTCTCTGATTTCACAGAAATTTCTATGATTCCACTTGCAAGTATTTATCAAGCTTCGCCCTCTCTCCGCGAGAGAGTTAAAATGTATCGATCGCAAAGGCGAATCTTTAACGAGGGCGAGGAATTAACTTGGTCGTCCAATTTGCTGGATGGAGCATCGTCCAGTTTTCGCGATACTCAGCATTGTGCACAGAGAGCATTCCAGCAAGCAACGGGAGAGAAAAACGCAAAGAACAGCGTTTTTACCGTGGCACGCAGACAACCGTGAAAACGTTTCCCCGCCGTGTTTGGGGTAATAGCTGAAGATAAGGCGGGGGTGTTGTTCGCGCGGGCAACGGCGACATTCACGAGGAGACTTCTTTATGAAATGCAACGATCCGGCCGATGGGGATCGTTAAATGTGGCTAAAGACCGTGGAAAACTTGATATTTCCCGATTTCTGTACACCGTGAATGACAATTGAAATTTTTCTATATATTTTTCTATATATTTTTCTATATATTTTTCTATATATTTACGTATCATAAATGATAATTATAGTAATATTTTTCTATACATTTACTTAATATAAATAATAATTATAGTAATATTTTTCTATATATTTACGTATTATAAATAATAATTATAGTAATATTATTCTATATATTTAAGTATCATAAATAATAATTATAATAATATTTTTCTATACATTTACGTATCATAAATAATAATTATAACAATATTTTTCTATACATTTACGTATCACAAATAATAATTATAAGAATATTTTTCTATACATTTACGTATCATAAATAATAATTATAACAATATTTTTCTATACATTTACGTATCATAAATAATAATTATAACAATATTTTTCTATACATTTACGTATCATAAATAATAATTATAACAATATTTTTCTATACATTTACGTATCATAAATAATAATTATAACAATATTTTTCTATACATTTACGTATCATAAATAATAATTATAACAATATTTTTCTATACATTTACGTATCATAAATAATAATTATAACAATATTTTTCTATGCATTTACGTATCACAAATAATAATTATAGTAATACTTTTCTATATATTTTTATAAAAATTATAAATTTACTTTTATAATTATTAATTATATAAATTATATAGAATTATATGTTAGATGTGTCTCAAATGATCTTAGAAGCGAATTTTAGAAATGGTCAGTTCGCTTTGAATCGCGCGAACCGCGAAATTGGAACGAAATTATGGAAAATGATAAATATAGAATAATACCACGAAACGAAACGTATACCCCTGTGTAACGTGCGTATATTATTAATGTTATTTTACTTGAATATAATTTGCTTAATGAAAGAAGGGAGAGCCATAATTAAAACAGAGACAATACGCGTAAATTCACCTCTCTGTCTTTGGAGTTATTCATTTCTGTTTGAAATTAATTAATATCAACATTTAATATCCGAACATTTTTCTATCTCACAGAAGCTTCGAAAAATATCATCCCTCTTCACACGTAGCGGGTGTTTAATTATTAAATAACGCAGGCTGCTCTGTAATGATTAATTTACACGTTGCACAATCGAACGAGTGAAACTCCGATTTTGTTTAAACAGACCGTTCCAGTTTAACATTGGAACTATTAAATCCATCGTAATTTTAAATTCCAATCGTTCACATTTAATGAGCGTAACAAAAATATCACTTTCAATAACTGATATATATATATATATATATATAAATAAATGTAGCTGTGTATAATACAGTTGACGTAATATACAGTCAAGGATTAAGAAATCGAAGAAACCAAATGAATTTATAGAATTCCACTGAGAGAAATTAAAGAATTTAAATGCTTATTAAAAATTTTCAACCAAAAATTGTGCTCTTTGTTTTCCAAAAAAAAAAAAAAAAAATGGAACGATATCTGAACGCTGCTCGAACGTTGAAAAATGACTGGGATATAAATGGATGGAGCCTGGGATCACTGTGCAGCGGTTTTTAATCCTTTGGATTTCGAATTAAATATTTTAGCGAGCCGATGACGCGGTCACCGGGTTCCCAGTTCACCCGTTTAATCTGTCCAGTAGTGTCAAATCGATGTGGAATGTAGGTCGAATTCGGCTTACCGGAATTGATTTCTCCGGTTTCTGAATTATCCCCCTGTAATCTATCCATTTGTCCGTCTCTGTCCGTTTGCTTTAATCCGTTCCTTTCTTCTTTCTTTTTTTTCTGACATTCGAACGTCCATCGCCAGATATTACGACATTAGATGGCCAATCGTCGACTGTTCTCGTTGATCGATCGCAAAAGCTCTCTGAAATTGGAGAAATTTTCGAACGAGAATGGAATTACATTTATTATATATATTTTTTTATATTTTTATTTATATTTTCATATATTTATTTCACTATCTTATTTTTATATATTATTTTATTGTTTTATTTTATATATTTTATATATTATTTTATTATTTTATTTTATATATTTTATATATTATTTTATTATTTTATTTTATATATTTTATATATTATTATATTATTCATATATTATTTTCATACATTTATTTCTACTAACCGATCCATTAACCAATAAAATTCCTGTATCATAAGTTCGTTATTGGCGAGATATCTACAGACATAGTTGAGAAAGAAATACAAAATTTCCATATTATTCATTGACGAAACAAGTTCCATTAAACGATTCCATCTGTCTTTGTTTTTCAGCTTGCGTTCTGGAACTGGTGATTGGTCAGCAAGGTCCGGTGTTCGTTCTCGAGCCGCCAAGTACTCTGGTCTTTTCCAATACCACAGGCTCTCAGCTAAGCTGTTCTGCTCATGGGAGTCCAACGCCGCACGTCACCTGGATAACCAGCCCGGATCAAAGATCGGTCACCGCAGTTCCTGGACTAAGGTGAGTCATTGAACATACGTACGTAAGTATTATAGTTTCAGGACTGCGCTTAATATACTACTTATTATATTTATTATATTAATTTAAATAATTATTTTTAATTCGAATAAATCTTTCTCCAATAAATAAAAAAATTAATTTAGAAAAAAAGTTCCATTTAATCCAAATACAATTCGAAATTTATATTACCATTTTCAATATCTTCTTTTTTCTAATTAGTTTACTATTTTTAATTTTTACTTTATGAATTCCTGCATGGTGCACAGAATTCGAGCTGAGTTTAAGTGAAATTTAAACCAAATTCTTGATTCTTCGATCCGAAATTTCAACGTGGAAACAATACGCTGTAGCAAATGTAAGAAAAAGTATAATGAATGTAATAAAAATATGATGGTATATTGATTTATTTGAACGAAGTTAAATCAACTTCAATGATTTGTACGTGAACGTCTATCATTTGAGCGAGAGAAAAATTGCTCAAGGGGGGAGAATCGGATGATTGCTGAATTACATGTTACTCTAATTATATAAACTGTTAAATTCACAGCACAAGTTTATCATAAACTTTTAGTTTTACCATACAATGGGAAACCTCGCATTTTCCAATTTTTCAAAATTTTACTCGGTTTCGATAAAACAACGAATGAGTGAAAGGCACGAGGAACGACCGTAGAAGTAACTTACTTTACGCATGTTTTGAACTTGGTAATTATGTTTTGCGGCGACGTTGCAGCCGTATTTTTCTTTTTCCACGAGGGGGAGGGGGGAGGAGGAGGAGCACAGTAGCCTCGTTCGGAACTCCCGCAATTTACCGCGGCCCGGAACTTCTAAATCCCGGCACGCTAATCCGCTTAGACCCTATCTATCTATCTATCTATCTATCTATCTATCTATCTATCTATCTAGCGCCGAGCACTCTTACGAATCGCGAATTTTCCGCCCGAAAATGCCGGGACCTTGCAAGCCAGCCAGCGATAAGTCGAAACGTGGGTATTGCCGCGTCGCGAACGAAAACTCGAGCGCGATCGTTCTCACTTGCAAATTTTCTGCGACAAAATCTCTGCATCTCAAATAACAAATTGCGCGTGAAAATAATAAATCTCCACGGCGGCTCGTGGCTTTCTCGATATTTTGGAAAATTCGACGACTCGATTATCTTGACCTCTTGCTGCGGTGGTAACTAAATTCGCGGACCATAACGAGTGACCAAAAAGCCGGCGCTGGCAACTGGCTTGCGGACCATAACGAGTGACCGAACCGTATACAATAATTCGTCGTTTTCTCTCACCTTTGAACTCGTCGGTATGAGAAATAATAAATTTATCATCTGTTTTGCCTGTCGTTATATTTCGATACACTTGAAATTGAGAAAATACTGCATTCCAGCGCAAGAGGTTAAAATTCTCCAAATCGGCGTGCTAAATCTCACTTTAGTAATTTAATTGTACAATCTCGAAGTAGAATATTACGATATAAATGAATGAGATGATATCATAAGTAATATAATAAGATATATAAGTAAGATAATGGTCATAAGTAATAATAATAATAGTCAATAGTAATGATAATAATAATAATAATAGTAGTCATTACACAATCTTGAAAATATTATTTGTACAGAGAAGCAAATACACATCTAGTTATCATTTTATTTTAATTTAAAATCGATTCTAGTTTATTTATTCGAAATAATCGCTGTTACAGCAATTCACATCAAGCGTAATATTAATCAGTCTATTTAATCAATTATAGCACTGTTGCACCGACCTGAGCAAACAAACAATATATTCAATTTACCAAATCGAGTATCGTTCTATTATCCTTGTCCGATCGTGTGATGTTCTGTTATACTTGTTTAATTAGATACGCTTATACACTCTAATTACCTAATTAGATATATACTGATGGCCCCAAAAACTGCGCCTCCGTCGTTCCCAATGTTGTTGCGGAACCAATCGCCAATTCACCAAATGTATTTATTTTAATCAATTATCGATCGTCAATAAGAAGATGAACCGAAATATTCGATCACACGTGGCTCGTATAAATTTGGGTTACGTTTAAATGTTTAATTCATTTTTATTTATTTTTGTTTATTTATTATTAATAGCATGACTATATTTTATAAAAACAGTAATAATAAAGTTATCACTATATTAGTTAGTAGTTATTCTGAAAGGAAATAGGCGAAGGTCATGATTTAATTAATTAATAATTTATTAAATCGCGAGAAAGGGATGGAAAGTAATAATTTTATTTTCCACAAATTTTATCATTTTGCAGCATTTTATAGTAAAGAGAATGTAACAATAATAATAATAAAATCAGAAAATTTAGAATTGATATGAAATAACGTATTGATCTATTAAAAATTTAATGCAATAGTTTGTGTTTAAAAATAATTTCCTTTCATCGTTTTCAAGATCTCTTGCATATTCGATCGCAAACATAAAAAATTCACGCCCACAGCCTTTCAAAGGAAATAAATATTAATCACTGCATTAACTCAGGCTACATCGTGCAAGTGTTAAATATTGTATTTCAAGTAAATACGTTAAACATTTGATGTTTGGCTGAAAAGGTTTGATAAAAGGATGTTAAAAGTAAAGCTTCGTGCCATTTATTACGTTTAAAGTTGCATAATTATTTTTTTTTTACACGTCGTCGCGTAAATTTTTGCAACACCTCTCGTGAAATCATTTCTTCGTTAATGATGATTCGAAAATCAAAGGACCAACGTTTCAACGACGAAGTGGTGACACTTACGTTGACTGAGTCAAAAATAATTTTTGAGAGGAAAACACGTTGACTTTCACGAATCACAAAAACTAATACGGAAATATAATTGTACAATAGATCAGTGATTCTCGATCTTCTTTTGTCCATGCCCCCATCTAAACATTTCTAAAATCCTGATGCCCCACCACTGTGACACATAATTCAAGAAGCGAATTTTTTGACGTGGAGAAAGACCATTAATTAGGGGAACTAATTGATGACAGTGTTGCACGAAGTTGAACTTTCAGAAATTCATTCTGTAGAACATTGGTAACGGCGGTAAATTGGATGACGATTATGTGGAAAAATAACGTGGAAGTGATTTTAAAAATAAAGATTTTTAAATTTTAAAAATAAAGGTTTCGTAAAGGTTTCGATTTTTTTTATTCAATTTCATTCAAGCACCTCGTACATGAACCTGAAAAGTATTTCTCCGAATAGCACTCGAGGATAAAGCGCCAGGTAGCCGGCGTGAGGTTAGTATCATCACAGTTTGATGCCACACGTCCGGCAATATAATCGTAAACGCGGCACCTGGGGAGGAAACCGGTTTTCTCTCGGTAATTGAAATGTTCCTTATCCAATGGTCGTCTAGCTAAGTTCGTCCACGAGCAGACGTCCCACGTGGCCTTCCGGTTTCGATATCAGCCTTATCGCGCGTTAATGAACTTTTAACGAACGAATAATCACGCGAAATGGGGGGGGGGGGGAAGCTCTTAGAATTTCAATCGCGATACGTCCGATAGAATTTCTCAATTTAGTTCCTTTCTCTTTAGTATCTTCCCTCTTCAAGTCGAGTTTCTCTCTTTTCAAGCTAGATCGTCATTTGGTAGTTTCGATTTCTTTTTTTTTTTTTTTTTTTTTTTTTAAGTTTCCAGTTTTGCAGCTTGCGCCGTGTGACTTTTAGATAATTCGAATTTTTTGTAGTTTAGAATATTCTGACTATCTTTTGCTTTCCTCTTCAAGTTGAGTTTCCCTCGTTTTTACTAGACATTTTCATTTTAAATTTCGTTTTAAACTAGACATTTTCATTTCTGTGAAAATTATGAAAACAGCAGCTATTTGTTTTCGATTTGTGTCGAATTTGTGCCAAAAATTTCTACGTTTTTTTTTCTTTATACTTTTCGAAATTGTTAAAAATTAAGAAGAGTTCGACCGTCAATCCCTAGTGAATGTTACACTAAAAATACGTAACCAGGTTTCACAGTAATCGGTTGGTCAGACTCCGAGATATCCTGCACACCGTTTCTAGAAACCTAGTTTCGAGAGAAACGCGTTTAAAGTTTCAGAAACGTCATTCTTCATATGTATCCTTTGCTTACTTTATTTACTATATACATCGCGGCTCGCAGTTCTTACAATTCACAACTAAATTGAACCCAACTCCCCTAATATTCGATTCACCAAAAGTAACATTTGAATCACACGATATACACTTTGTAATACTGCTTGTAAACAGTTGTAAACAGTGATACAAATTCAATTATTCTGCATCCTCGGATTAATCATAATACCCCGAAATAAGTCGTTTTGAAGGCTAGTACCTTTTATATTCTTATTCCCAAGGCTTCAAACTATTTAAAACGAAACAAAAAAAGGAAATTTTCAAAAAAAGGATTTTTTTGAAAATTTCAAACTGTCCTGATCCCTTGAATACTCGATGTTTATCCGCCGTCAAGGCTACGCGATCGAATTGGCCCTGAAGCATCGCGGTAACCTTTACTTTCACCCTTCTCATACTCTATCTAGATCTATATAGATCCGAAGGGAAACAGAAACAGACGCAACACACAGTCTTGAACGAACGGTGCTCTGTATCAGTTGGAAGCCGCAAGTTGCGAAGAATTCAAAGCGTAAAGCCAATCCCTTTCGATTCCACGTTCATCCGCCAAACGATTTCTCCTTTTAGCCGTTCGGCACTCGGGTTTTTGCAGTAATTCAGACAGCCGAGGCCGTTTCCTTCCTTCGTTTCGCGTCCGATGAAAATTCACTGGCGCAGCATCGGTGTATCGTCGATCGATTAGAAACGCGGCGAGGAGGCAGCTGCAGGCTGGTTTTTCGTTCGCCGAAGATAAAGGAACTGCGGCGGCCAGGAGAGAGAGAGAGAGAGAGAGAGAGAGAGAGAGAGAGAGAGAGGAATCGCTGGGATAAATGTAACGATGCGCGCGTGAAAGGGACAGGGATGAAAGGTGAAAGGTAAGGGTTGGAGAATTGATGAATTG